ATTACATTGAACCAAATGAACCAGAACACTGATTTCCATTGAACTAATTACATGTTTTTTTCCTCATATTAAAGGAAGAACATTGGTCAATCCTATTACGAGGGTCTCTCCACCCAGATAAAAAAGTCCAGGGACCAGAAATAAAAGTTTACTCAACAAGCCAGATTCTGGGAATGTGCTAGAAAATTACAAATATACAATATTTTCAGAGAAACACAAGCTTCAATCAAACTTCTATGAACAGGTTTCATGTGCTGATGGATAAGGAAAAACTTACCTCAGCTGTCCCTAGTGCCCCCCATGCTAGGTTGCTTAGGAGACAAACTTTTACGCTATCTAATTTACGTAACAGAATTCCAAGTCTATTTTTTTTACTTTAGTTACTGTTTCCTTTAAAATGCTTAATTGTATTTTGTTATCTTAAAGGCAGAGTTTAAGTTAAACAAACAGAAAAAAATACGAGATATATTTACAAAAGGAGCCTAAATGTTGTTCCACATTGTCAGATACTGACTGAAAGATTTGTACACAAACAACTCAGCTACATGACTAGCTGGCAGGGGCAGCTGCACTCATGAAATAGTCACCATGCAGATGTTTCTTTCAAGCATTTCACATACCAAACCTTGGGTAAAACAAGACTGCAAAAAAAAAAAAAAACAACTGGCAACTCAAGGTGGAGAAAACAGAAATACATACAGATTAGTTAGCAAGTGTGCAAAAAGTACAGAAGGAAATTTGTAACAGGAGTGCAACCTGTTATGTAGAAACAACTTGTAATAGAACACAAAATAATGTAATTGCTATGTAAAGACCATAAAGACAAGCGAACCCAGTAAAGGAAGACTCAGGTATTGTTGAAACAGGTACGGTTGAGTTCTGTTCTAAAGCAGAACCCAAATCAGCCAGGACCAGGCTCCTGGCTTTGGCCAGGACAAAGTGACCTGGGAGAAAGTCAAACCTCCATTGCACTTATGCAGAGGAAATGAAGCAACAAACACCGAGGAAGAAGATCCTACTTCATCAAGAAGACCCTTGCCCAGGACCCCCAGAGGGCATGGCACCACAGAAGACTATAATATGAAGTACAAGGAGGCAGAATGGGCAGGGAATGGGTAGGAAGGGAGGTGTGGGCGAGGGTGGGAGATCAATGTGTATTTAAACCTGAAAACCTGTCTCCACAGGTACACATGTATGGAGAAAATATGCCCCACGTGTCCCACCTGGTAATAACATACCTGCTTTACAATTCTAAGTGTAAAGTCCTTATTCACCAACTCACCACTAAGATGATTAGAGGGATGGAACAACTCACCTATGAGGAAAGGCTGAAAGAATATATTTTTGCATAAATATTAAGAGCAAAATAAAGGGTAAGACCAATCTTTGCTCTCTATTAGATGCAGAAGAAAACTTAGTAACTGCAGATAAAGAAAAGGCCGAAGTGCTCAACGCCACCTTTGCCTCAGTTTTTAGTGGGAAGATGGCTCACCCTCAGGACAACTGTCCTCCTGGGTTGGTAGATGGTGTCAAGGAGCAGAATGATCCCCTGTTA